TTCACTATATTTGGTGGGTTGCCCTGAAGCTGCTCCAAGCTTGACCAAGTCTTTGAAGCAGTCAGGCTCTGGAGCAGAACTGGATCAGCCCTTAGTTCCTAGGCTCCTCTTCCTCATACTTACTTCGAATGTAATTTGCCGCCCAGAACCTCAGCCACTGCAAATCAATGTAGTTCCATTGACATTCCTAGGCATTTCCCAATTCATACCCAGTTATATATCTGTCTCTCACACTTTGTTGATAAGAATTGCCTGGTTCTCACTGTCTTATTACAAACTTCAAATCACAGTCCCAGTAGTGTGACATCTGTTAGTTCCATAGTTCCTAGGTATTATGATTTTTTTTCTTTAAAAAAGAATAAATATGTTATAGTTAAATATAAAAGAAGTGTCTGTGCAGTCAGACCCTAACCACAAGGTCAAATTCACTGAGACTGAATTAATTTCCCCCCAACTGAAAATCAGAGCCATGATTTCTAAGAAGGACATTTGTTTTCCAGAAAGAACATATCCAAGAACATTGTTCAGTTCTTCAATTGAGAAAGTAGCTGATAAGTCCTTTGTTCATGATGGAGCTGGTGTCTCACTTTTAGTTATACAGGGACCCTTATGGCAAGTTTTGGGAAAGTTAAAGAACTATAATAACCAAGGGCCAGTTTTTGGGAAGTGATCCATACAGGAGCTGGGGACACAACTTTTTTTTTTTTTTTTGCTCACTGTCTGAACCAAAAAGAGCTCTTTTTTTTTGGATCCACCTGGAATGTTTCATTTGGTTGACCTATTTTTTTGACCCAACAAAACTCTTTATTTGATTTTTCAAATTTATTTTAGCTTTTTTAACTGGTAAAAGTTGATTATAACATTGAAAATAGTTTCAAGTAAGAAATCAAAATCTTATATTTAAAAGACATCTGAGTAAAATATTGTGACTTTTCCAAATGTCCTTTTTTCCAGTCAAAAATATTTACTGAATTTGTGAATAATTTCAGTTTTCTCTTATTTGCATTTTGTGACAAAAAATGGCTTTCCAAAGAAATTATCCCAGCTATACTCAGTACCAAAAAATGCCATTGTTCTCCCTAAGGGGGAAGAAAGAAAGTTTGCTTGCTCTTCTAGGCAATGTCTAGTCCAGGGCTTGGTCATGAGAGTACTGTACAATGCCTGAGAAGCAGAAGATGCAAGTTCAAACATCCACTGGATGTGGGAGGCCTAGAGCCCAGTCTTCTCCCTTGCAAGTGCCTCAACCACCAGGCTATTGGGTTAAGAGGTGGATGGGCCCACTGTCATTTTACTTCTAGCAGATATGCACACAGGACAATTTTATTTCACCACAGGGGAAATTGAATCCTAAACTGGGATCTAAGTGCCTACCCCTACCCACTGCAAGGCATCTAGCACTATGAGAGCTGGCAAGGATTCTGCTTATCATCTGATGCACACAAGGAGCAGAAGGCAGCGAGAGTTAAGTTCTGTAGTTCAGGGCTGCATGGGGACTTGGTCAAAGGTTACAGCTAATGACTCTGCAGTTCTCATCACCCACCCGTCACTGTCAAGGAGATGCAATAAAGGACCCTGCAGGGTGCGCTTGCTGCAGTTAAATGGGTCGTACGTTGGATTTACTGGCACACGTTAGTTGTTTGTAAGAACGGCTCTCATGCTATGCTCAGGATAAAATAATCTGTGCTGTAGCATCAAGAAAAACTATATGTCATCCACTCCTGTTCTTTTTCAAGTCCAACCTATGACAGGCACAACTACTCCCTGTTTATTTGTGCAACAAATTTTGCTCGTGTCTCATTTTTATTGCTACATGTGTCCTGGTGAGAGCATAGTTTTATGATGCCATGTGTCCTAGCTCTGCTGATTTCATAGATTTCATAGATTTCATAGACATCAGGGCTGGAAGGGACCTCGGAAGATCATCAAGTCCAGCTCCCCGCCCAAAGGGCAGGAAGTCAGCTGGGGTCATAGGATCCCAGCAAGATAAGCATCCAGTTTCATCTTGAAGGTGTTCAATGAAGGCGCTTGAACCACCTCCGGTGGCAGGCTGTTCCAGACCTTGGGGGCTCGGACAGTAAAGAAGTTCTTCCTTATGTCCAGCCTGAAACGATCTTGAAGTAGTTTGTGACCATTCGACCTCGTCATCCCTTGGGGCGCTCTGGTGATGAAGTCTGCAAGGTCAGAAGCACTCTTGGCAAAAGGTGAGGGTCCTCATTCTCAGCTACAATTCCACTTGTGGGTTCTGATTTACCAGCTCCCTGGTTCAGCGTCAGGCAACCTAACATCCTTGAACAGGAAAGAAAAGGGTGACCTAGACAATCTCATGGACTCACACTTAACAGAGATTGAAGGCACAGCCCACTCCTTTTCTATCAGAAATCAGTTTCATACCCATTAAGCAGTGAACCCAGTGCCTTTCCAAATGGGGTGTCCTGAAAATAAAGCATGGTCTTTGTATAAGTATGGAAGGGAGAGAGAAGCCAAAAGGAATCAAGAGCTGCGGACAGAGAATGCCAAAGTCCAGCAACTTCTTGTCAAATATAGTCCTCTCTAATGGATACTATAATGCTGCAGCCCTGGGTGGGTTGGCAGACGCAGGAATTCAAGTTGGAACTGCTGGATATTCATGCATGAGCCCTTGTACTCAAGCTAAAATGCCTAGCTCTGTTAGCTATAGCTACAATAGGCTCAGCCATCTTGATCTGTGGCCGGCCATCGTGAAAGGGAACAGAGCGCTAGACAGTGGGAGTGTCTACATGTGCATTTAGTCATGACTAGATTTATTGCGCAGTAAGCCAATGCACAGTAAGTGAATTTGGGTAGGTGTCTACTCATGCAGGGACCTGACACTAAATCTAGGTCCCTCCAGCCCTGCCATGCACCAGAGGGAGCTCCAGCCTCCAGCCCCCGCTGCCAGCACTTGGCAGCTATGTTTGAAGCCAGACCCAGCTGCCAACACTTGGAAGCCATCTTTAAAACAGTGCCCCTCAATGTGATCTCTGGGCAGCCAGTTTCAGTGCGCAGAGGAGCAGTGTGCCACACAAAGAAGCAGCACATGGCAGCTCTGTTCGTGCCCCCTCTGTGTTCCTGAGCTATGGCTGCCTCAGCTCCTAGGTCTGGCAGTAAGGTACAGGGTCCTCTGATCCTGCTGGCTACCTCGGTCACCCTGCTAACCCACCATAGTCACCGTCACTTAGCCCATGGTCATCTTGTTCTGCCTGGATTCCCCACATGCAGTGACTGCTTGGCCGGCTGCCACATGCCCTTTCAGGGCCCCCACTGCCATGCAGCTGCTGCCGGCAGTTACACTGATAAGGAGCTTCACTAGGCTACCACCAGTGCCACCATTGCCCTCCTGGCCCTTCAGCCCCACTACTTCTGGTCCCACCATGCCAGTTAGGACTGGTGGCAGTGCCTGTTGCAACACAACTGGAATGCCAAACAGTGGATTGACACATTTAGGATGACCCGGGCCACCTTTCCTGACCTGCTCCACTGGCTCTGGCCCCAGGACATTGGCATGTGCTCAGCCCTCCCCTCTGACACCTGCCTGGCTCTGGTGCTAGTTAAGCTGTTCATGTATGTGAGGCACTTGTTTGGGGTTGGCAGGGCCACTGCTGGGGAAGCTGTCCTGGAGGTGTGTGGTGCCCTCCAGGACATGCTGGTAGACATCATCCTCTGCATCTGCAACCCCCAGGCAGTGGTCGCAGGGTTCCATGCACTGGGGCTCCCCCAGTGTATCAGGGCCCTGGAAAGGATGCACATGCCGGTGACCTGCCCATCCCATGGAGACAGCCCCTATTATAGTCACAGGTGGCTCCACTTGGTGGTTCTGCAGTCAGTCATTGATCACCAGGGGTCCACCCACGTCAGTGCTGACTGGGCAGGCAGAGTGCATGACACACATGTATTCAGGAACTCTGGACTGGGTATGCTTGTGGAGAGCGGGTGCTTTGCACTGGGAGTGGAGGACCTGCAGCTAGGTGTCATCGTCATCCTAACCCTGCTCATCAGGGACCTGGTATACCCACTCCTGCTGTGGCTGATAAGGCCCTACACCGGGCAACTGGACCCCCCTCCCCAGGCCCACTTTAATTGGTGCCTTGTCTGGACCTATGCTGTCATCAAGTGTGCCCCCCCTCAAAGGTGCTCCCTCACTGCCCACCTTGAAGTGGTTAAGAACAACCACCCCCAGGGCCATTGCTGAAGCTTGTGTGCTGCACAATATTTGCCCAGCTCTATCCATCCTTCAGTTTGGAAGGGAAAGTGAAATACCACTCAGGCAAATCTGCCCCTCTCTTGTCTACAGCAGCTTGTCATGTCTCATATTGGCCCCATTTTCTTCCTCTCTGCCCCATGTGCAGCATGATGGGCTATTTTGGCCCTTCCAGGCTAAAAAGGGAAGTATCACCTTAGCTGTATGTTCAGTCGTTCCAAAAATATTTGTTGGAACTTCTAGTGAATGTGAAGCTGTCCTGCCCATGCAGCTAGAATGTATGAACACAGACATTTGCTATAAATGGGGAATCATCTTCTCTCTAGCTGAGTGTTACATAGCAATCCCAAATATGGCCCTGGTATATGCAGTCACACATCACCACTGTCGTCTAAAAAGACACTCTCTAGAAACCAAGATGGTCATTTGAAATGGACACATCACCAAAAACAAGTGTCAGATAGCCAAGACTAGATGTGCGTCCCCACTGAAAGTGCACCATCACCAGAGGACTTGGGAAGACACCACAAAACAAAAGGATCATAAGCATACCATGAAACAAACAGCCTGCTTAAAGGTTTG